CAGACGTTACTCTCGACGAAGCTCGCGAGAGAACGTCTGTGCCGTTGGATGCCAAGATTCCTTGTTCTAGTCACGTGGGTTTTCCCCAGATTTTTGGAAAGGCCTCTGATTGGACAGTGCTTTATTTGAATAATATATGACAAATGAAGATATTTCATTGGTTAATTGTAATTAGCATGCGTTTAAAATGACAACGCAATTTTAAATTCAGAGATTTCCTGAAGAATCAAGATTTCCTTCGGGGCATAGTGGCATACAAAAGTTTGAAAGACTTGAAATATAATCTGTTTGAAAGACTTGAAATATAATCTATAATTTTGTGCTGTATCGAAGTTTAAGAAAATCAAGATAAAATTCTAGTGTTTGGACACTCAGAAATATATGCAATATATTTCTGGTATATCGTTTTTCAGATTATATTTCAAGTCTTTCAAACTTTTGTATGCCCCGAAGGAAACCTTAAGTCTTGAGGAAATCTCTGAATTTAAAATTATTGTGTTACTATTTTAAACGCATGCTAATTACCAATTAACCAATGAAATATCTTCCTTTGTCATATATTATTCAAATAAAGCACTGTCCAATCAGAGGCCTTTCCACAAGTCTGGGAAAAATCCACGTGACCAGAACAAAGAATCTAGATCCAACTCACAGACGTTCTCTCGCGTGCTTCGTCGAGAGTAACGTCTGTACACAGGCTAGGGAGTGGCGGCGATACGAATTTTTGATGTGTTTCAGTTCGGTGAGTCCCGTAATATATTGATTCGTACATTTATAAAGAACGCATCATGCTGGCTCAATTGTATATTTCAATTTAAATATGCTGGAAGTGCGACCAGGATTGAACATAATGATTTTTGAGACGTTCTCTGGTTGAAAATTTTTTATTCACGAGCTTTCGGCTGCCAGACTGCAGCCTTCAACGGGTAGTTATAAAATACAGTGATTACAGACGACTATACGGTTTACAATTACAGATCGAAGCATACGCCTACGCTACGCCTACACTGTAAATTTATGGTTAACAAATTACAGTGACAAACAGATAACTGGAAGTGATAGTTCCGCCTATATATACTCTGATAAAAATTGTTCTATTTCTTTAATAAAAGACGGTATTGTTCCGGTAAATGCCTGGTCTTATGACCATAAAATTGATTTTGACAATGGCAAGATAATGGACAAGGCAAACTACCGCCACAGAGCTACATTGGAATCTTGGCACACCGCGCTCACAGCTAACGCAGACAATAATTCCAAACATTCGTGAATAAAAAATTTTCAACCAGAGAACGTCTCAAAAATCATTATGTTCAATCCTGGTCGCACTTCCAGCATATTTAAATGTATTCGCCAAGAGGCTGGGCTGAATGCTTTGAAGTTAGCAGGATCCTTAGAAAAATCCACCTATAAACTCGAAGCTCATCACCGCCACCTGAATTTCACCCACCGAACTCTAGAAAATCGTTGGTTTCCCAAATCGCTTCGGTTCTCGCCACCTGGTAGCCATCCTATTTTCAAACGTATCATGGAACGAACGAGTATTCATTGTATGAGAGCACGGATTAGCATCTGCCACGAACAGATACGGTCTACCAATCACATCGTCTCTGAGAATCGAAGGAAATTGTCCGCTTTATTCTCTGAGGAATCATTCGTTCGGTTCTTACAGTTTCTAAAGAACAGAGCTACATCTGTCCAAAACAACATAAAAACCAGACACGAAAAGAAGCTATTAAACCTAAGCAAAGAATCCACACCGGCCGGTCACACTATTGATTCATCCAAATGGGTTATCAACCTTCCCAAGAAGCCGCTTTCTTCCGATGAACGTGCCATTTTAAATAAAGCCCCCAAGTTTGCCCCAACACCGCTTCATATACCCACCAAAGATTTAGTAGCCGAGATCGAAGCTGCCATCACCAACCTATCTGAGGAATCCAAAGACGCCATCAAAACATCAGCAGCTAATTTAATACGACGAACTGATATTCCCCAACACAAAAACATCACGGTTAATGAACGCAAAGCACTCTACGGACTGAAGAAAGATAAGACACGTGTTGTGATGAAAGCCGACAAAGGCAACTGTTTTGTGGTCATGGATAAAACAGACTATGACGAGAAGATACAAGAATTGCTCAGTGACCAAAACACCTACGAAAAAGTCGCAAAACCTCCTTTCAAAAAGATCAAACGCGAATTAAATTCACAATTACTACAATTAAAACAACAACATAAGCTTGATGAACGCACCTACAAAAAAACTACACTCAACTAATGGCATTCCACCAGCCATCCGGGGTTCTGTCAGTCAAACATCACAAGCCCAACAATCCACTTCGCCCTATAGTAACATGTAGGAACACAGCACAATATAACACATATAAATGTCTAGCAGATATTTTGGCACCTTTACAAAACAACAACGGCTATTCTGTTACCAACTCGACTGACTTTGCACATAGGCTATCCAACATCAACATTGAAGACGATGAAATTATGATTTCCTTTGACTTTGTTTCTCTGTTTACTGCTATCTGAACGAAAGCTACTGAAAGATACTACCTTACAACAACGAACAAACCTAACTATTGACGACATTATTAAGCTTCTACGTTTCACACTGCATGTCTAACAGGTTTTTTAACTACAACAGGCAGACCTACAAACAAATCCATGGCTGTGTTATGGGAAGTCCTGTAAGCCCTATTGTGGCAAACCTCTGTTTAGAGGTTATTGAAGAACTCGCTCTGTCTCAAACAATTATACCACATAAGAAATGGTTTCGATATGTTGATGATGTTTTCTCGGATCATCAAAAAACATGCATTAGATTCCTTTCATAATCTACTGAACTCCATTGACCCAGACATAAATTTTACCACAGAACATAAACAAGACGGATCGACGCCTTTCATTCTTAGACATTTTAGTTTCTCGAAACAACGGGACACTCATCACTAATGTCTACCGTAAGCCTACGCACACTGACAAGTACTTAGATATTAATTCACATCACGATAAACAACATAAAATTAGCACAGTACAAACCCTCTTACACCGGGCAGCAACACTTCCTAACTCAATCGGCGAAGGCAAACAACAAGAACGTGAGCATGTTATTATAAAGCGTTGACGGCTAACGGGTACCCACAGAAGTTCCTGACAGAAGTGGAAAAGAAACGTGCTTTGACACAACAAAAAACACCATCACCTGAAGAACTTGTTCGAGAGTTTTTTGAAAGAGTTGATCCCAGCACAAAAGTTGGTTACGCGGTTTTGCCATACATCAAAGGCCTATAGTATTAACCTTTACTTGAGTTTCATTAATTTCAAACAGACTTGATATTCCTGTTCTTGCACTGAAGAAAACAGCGCTTTTCGCGGTGAAGATTTAGAGGCAGTTGCATACTTGCATGTATAAATCCTATTCGAAACTCTTTGCGATTTGCAAGGCTTCGCTGAGAGAGCGAAACAGAAGACGGTAATTATAATTGCCGTTTGAAACGAAACGATCTGGACTCTGAACCCTGTCTTCTTTTGTAGAGTTATTTAATACCAAATGAAATAACTGAAATAAATTTCGTACTTTCCGCCGCCAACAAGAATTGCACACACGATCTGATAAGTGAGACAATTTATTTATAACAACGGCGACAGCGAAGCACACATTTAAATGCTAATGTGGTCGCACGACTTCCCTCACGATTTGAAGTTTGAGACTGGTTTTCTGTTGAAATTCGTCCTAATTTGCCTGTTCGAATTTTAGTTGAAAATGAGCACTTGCAAATTTGGCAATTACTGACTGCGTTCCTTGCTTTTTTTGGAGTTAAAACACAGCCATGTACACATTGTTTCTATTTTGAATATTAAAGCAGAGAAAACCCCGCAACATTTTAATGCGAGTTTGTTTGTTAATATTTGGGTTGCTGTCATTGGTTCTTTTTTGACAATTGACGCGCGAATGGGGCGTGTTGTGAAAAGGGGCGTTTTACAAAATACCGAGCCTTGCTTGCAGGTCCACTATTCTTCCCTTGGGCCTACACGCGGGCTAAACAGAACCTCTCAAACGCCTCATCAGGCCTTATAACATCCAAACATCAACGAAACCTATACACACACTTGAACAAATGCTCCCTTCACCGAAAGAAAGACCACCATCCAAAGAACAAACAAATGTGATCTATCGAATAAATTGCGCCGATTGTTCGTGGAGCTACATTGGTGAGACGGGTCAAGCGTTTATCACACGGAAAAAAAACATGTGAAGAATGTCGAGAAACAAAAAGCGGGTTCAAATATTGCGAATCATGCCTGGTCTTATGACCATAAAATTGATTTTGACAATGGCAAGATAATCGACAAGGCAAACTACCGCCACAGAGCTACATTGGAATCTTGGCACACCGCGCTCACAGCTAACGCAGACAATAATTCCAAACATTTACCGGAACAATACCGGTTTTTTTTAAAGAAATAGAACAGTTTTATCAGAGTATATATAGGCGGAACTATCACTTCCAGTTATCTGTTTGTCAGTGTAATTTATTAACCGTAAATTTACAGTATAGGTGTAGCGTAGGCGTATGCTTCGATCTGTAATTGTAAACCGTATAGTCGTCTGTAATCACTGTATTTTATAACTACCCGTTGAAGGCTGCGGTCTGGCAGCCGAAAGCTCGTGAATAAAAAATTTTCAACCAGAGAACGTCTCAAAAATCATTATGTATATTTCAAGTATATAAAATATGTTAGTATATATTGTACGCTTAACAATGAAAACATTTGTATAGCCTCCCCGTTGGGGAATAGAAATTTCTGGCGCCACCACTGGATGTAAATAGCAGTCAAATTGCCACGAGATAACGTCGAGGAGTTGACGTATTGTCTAGATCTATTGCAGCTGAAATGTCCAATATAATAACCTCCCCCCGAATCCCAACAGATCCCAAGTGTATAAGTCCACCATATTCACTAACGCTTAGGTTTCAACATACCTCCTTTATGATTTTGTGTTTTACCCTTGAGAAACGCGAGATTGGTCTTAGCATAATCAGGTTTTCCAGATCTCCACTCAATCGCTGTGTCATCAAGATCGCCACGTTCGGGTTCACGTAAATTGTACTTTTCTTTTAATTTGTTTAGATCCATACGAGCCATACATGTTGTTATATTATCCATCAGTCGTTGTTTTAAAAAGCACTGATACCGGCGACTTAATTTTCTTCTTTGTAGTAGTAATTCGAGGTAAAGTTTCTATAAATTATTGTATGTTCGTACGTGTACTCAGACGCCGTCCGGTCCATAGGAAAATAGAAAATAATTTTTCCTCCTTAATTTAATTATTACACTATTCTCGACACACGTTGTTTTCGTTACCAGTCCCCGCGCCCCGAGTTTAGTAGTCGTGTGGCTTGAATCTCGATATTTTGTCGAGTTGTATACTTGTATGTGCGCATCCAAGGGGGTTACGGAAATTAATGAAGTATTAAGGGGGTTGTTTATCATCGATATGTACGATATTATCAATCTCCATTTGTAGTTTATTAATATTAGTAAGAAACAAAACCGAAACGACATATTATTTTGAATAAATTAAGTACGAATGGCTTTATTTCTTTCTGGTGATATACATGAAGGCAGTAGATCTGCTATTTAGCGTTCGATATAGAGCTAGGTATTGAAACAATATTATGATGATACTAGGAGTTACTATCGCAAGGAAAGTGCTGCCTTTTTTGCCACATGAACTGAATGCAAAACCACTCCAAAGGGGAGTTTACTTTTGACCTAATGAACTTATTCTTAAATTGCGTGCACGGAACATGAGTAAATAACCAACATGAAAAAGTTGCCATTGGGTCAAAATGGATAAACGGCATACCCATTAGCTGACAATGCACCCCACTTTAGTATTAACTCTGTCTAACGCCAGACATTTACACTCTGTAACGCCAGACGATTTTACTTGTCAGTTGTAGAGTACTGTTAGTATCTGCTAATGTCTCTTATTAACCGCCATTGGCAGGCAATGCGCATGCATACTTTAATAGTTACTGCCTATCCACTACCTGTAGGAAGCAATTTTGTATTGGGGGAGCTGATTAGCAGGGGCGATTATTAGGTAATTATATCCCTCTCAAACTTCACAGATTATCGCTAGTTTACAAGTTATTTTTTTTTTTTTGGGGGGGGGGCGGGGCTGAAGACCCCAGACCCCCGGTTGCTACGGCCCTGCTATCAACGCCAGACAATTTTACTCGTCAGTGCCAGTAAACGACTTAATTTCTCGTCACCCCAATTTAAACTTTTACGATTTTTGTTGTTTCTAATTGCAGATTTTAACTTTAAAATATAGATTTTAATTCTGAAAATCAAGATTAAGATATTACAATTTATATTTAGAAAATTTAAATTTACGAAAACATTACTGAAATGTTTCATGTTTGATCAGTAATATCCCCCGTCCCAATCTAGACCCATCCCGTCACTGGGCCTGGGCCGCATCAGACGTTGCTCATTCGTCGTCCTTTTCAAGACTCCAGCACGTCGCTGGAGTCAATATGAGTAAAATACTCCTTGTATTAAAGCGCTTTTGTGTAGGAAGTTTCGTTTGAATAAGGCGAGTAGAAATATATATTTTGAATTTTTCAAAATATAGGGTTTTTACTCGCACGCGCGCGCCACGTGTATGCTTGCGTGTATGCGTATATAGCCCGATGCACGTGCAAACCATGCCACTGGGAGTACTTTGACCTGTAGTTTCCAAACCCCTAGGATGTAAACAGCTGTTTTGATGTAGGAACGTTTCACGGGCCGCGCTAAAAATATAAATATTCTGTAAATACCAAAATAAAAGATGAAAATCTGAAGACACAAGCTTGAAAATAACACTGTGAATAGTGTTTTGGATTCTGGTTCGAATGAGACTATAACGAAAAAGATATGCCCAAAGGGGCCGAAGTTATGTTCGGCGAAATGTATGGCTAGTTTACATTGTTCGTTTATATATAAATGAAATATGATACCATACCTTACTTGTTAAAATTCGCGTCGTACTATTATTGTATTAATATTAGGCAAATGAGAACCATGCAATAAGTGTTTTAGTTCTTGTTATTTTAAACGCACGCTTTATCTTTACTACCACAACGTTTTTCGCGCGGATTATATTTCGCGCAGTGCTAAAATTTGCTCATCCAGCGCTGCGCGAATTCTAGTACTGCGCGAATTTTAATACTGTAAGACATATTGTGCCATTATTGTGGACATTTGACTAATGTGAAAATAAAATTATAATGACAATACATTACTCGACTTTGAACAAACAATAGTTTATAAATTCTTAAACTCTTTCATATACATAGTAGCCAGCGATTTGTAGTAGGTAGCCATAACTAGGTAGCTGGCAGCATGAACCCAGGCTGTTACCCTCGATATTCGCAACTTTATTAAACCGGTTCATCACATCGATAAATAAACACTAAGTATATGAATTAAACATACAGATATTACTACTTTATGTACTGAAAATTTCGGGTGAAACACTTAAAAGACACATATTTGAGTAGCCTGCTCGCATCATTGAAGAAAATTTTGTTGAACAACCCCCTCATTTTACAAACCAACTTGAATACTTAATGAGCCCCCTGGAATGCCGAAATCTCCACCGAGTGAAAATCGCTATTCGACTCAACCTCGTACCCAGGGCTTCTGCGCTGAGAGCAATAAGCGCAGAAGCCCTGGGTACGAGGTTGTATTCGACTATACATAACTCGGCCGCGGGGACTGGACACGAAAAAGCAAGAACGTCATGTGAATTGCTGGCCGAGGCAATTTTAGAGGACAAACTTGTCGAACTTTGGCCTGAATATAAATGTTTATACGATGTGAGTTCTGCAGATTTTAGAAATAGGGACAAAAGGGAATGTGCGGTGAAAGAAATAGTAAGTAAGTTTGTCCTCTAAAATTGCCTCGGCCAGTAATTCATTTTGCGCCGCCATCTTGGATGTTTACTTTCGTATACTACGCATGCGCTGTTACGACAATCCGTAAGCAGATAGCTTTCGTTCGCCGCACACGGAAAGATTTTGGCACGCGAGGCAGAAATTATCAAACATGTTAGATATTTGGCGTAAGTGGCACGAATGACAAAAGTCGTTCGTAAATCGCCCGCACACGAGAGCTATCTCCTTACGCCAACAGTCACGAATGACATTTTGCTAAGCACATAGCTCTAGTGTGCGCCGGCCTTAAAGTATAAGTAAGGTATACTATATATGAACCATCAGTATACGTCAGTTGGCCGATAGTGCAGTCGGGTGGCGATTTAATAAAATAGGTACGCGACGCGTACATGTATCTGCGAAAAAACTTGATTCACATTTTGTATTTTCTTGAAAGGAATTGAATAATGAAGACGACATGGGACAATTGAAATATTTCATCACTTATTATACTATAATAGCAAATAAGATTTTAAAGTCAAACATAATACACATCTAACAGGGCTGTACACAGTGCGGAGGGCAGCAGGGGCAATCCCCCCGCCGCCGAGAAAATTTAACTAATTTTATAATGCGATTATGATTGTAACAAATAATTATGCTGTCAGTGTCTATACAGCTGGCAGCCAGCTATTTAGTAAACTGTCACTTGTCAATCCATATTCATAGAATTTTCAAAACTTTATAAATTTGTAATCATATGAAGCAAAAGTTCTGTCTCTTGTTGTTTACACTTGGCAATGTTAACTATTGAGTAGGATACACAAACTATTCGAGGAACATGCATTACTGTAGCAATGAGTCAATCATATATCGAAGATCACTGAATAATAGAGAATGTTTTGAAGGTCATGAGTGAAGTATATAATTCAATTCCAATTCTGTGCATAGTTAATGATATACCACACTGTTCGGTTTAACACAGCATATCCACACAAAAACAATTTAGTTTTGCACATTGTGTGCAATTGATCTGATCTATCCATATGATATATGATTATTGTAGCTGTTAAATTAAGTTATTTTCCATACTAATGAATTTAGGTAAGATTGACTTGCAAGTGGCCACCATTGTTCTGACAAAATTATCCAGCCAATATCCAGTACATTTATTCATCATTCTTGTATCAATCTCTAAACAAAAACATTTATGTTAGAAAGCAAAATGAGGAGGGAGGGTGGGTATTACCACTGTGGTATTACTTTACATTAGCATTTGAAAATGTTTGTAAAAATTGTTTACTGTAATTTATACTCTAATGTGCAAAATCAAAAATTATGTATACGTATTTTAACTGATAACATCTTAACTTTTGCTCTAACACTACATTTGATGACAGCTTAGTTGGACTGTTGTTTTGAACAGAGTTACAGAAATACAGGACCAGGATTTAATTCAAAATCTCCTTAGAACATTAGTTTCCTGTGATATTGTAATATTGTTCATTGGCAATATTGCCTGACTTGCCTGCTATGTTTTGACTGTTTAAAATATTACACAACGACTGTTTTACTGTATATTAAAATGTATATAATAAAATATGTGGTATTTGACATTTTGACTGCTTACCAGATGAGGATAAGTTTCCATGTTAATAGTAGAATGGCGAGAGAAAAAACAGCAATTTGAATTCAAGATATTTTTTAATCCAAAATGGCGACAATACTTGAATATAAACACGAGGCCAAACCATGCCCATGGCGGACACGATGTAACATAATCACCGATTGGCTTAAATTGGCTTAAAATATATAAGCTATATGCTAACATATGGTACGGTACCGCACGGCATGTTTGCGATAGCATATATATCTGCTTCGCAGATACAAAAATGGGTCACAAATGGTAACACTGGGTCACAAATAGTAAAAATTGGTCACAAATGATAACACTGGGTCACAAACAGTAAAAATGGGTCACAAATGGTAACACGTGGGTCACAAATAGTAAACATTGGTCACAAATGGTAACACTGGGTCACAAATAGTAACAATTGGTCACAAATAGTAAAACTGGGTCACAAATAGTAAAAATGGGTCACAAATGGTAACACTGGGTCACAAATAGTAAAAATTGGTCACAAATGGTAACACTGGGTCACAAATAGTAAAAATTGGTCACAAATGGTAACAATGGGTCACAAATAGTAAGAA